GTTTCCTCATCTGACAAATGGGATGATGATAGGACCTACCTTATCAAGGCGTTGTGCAGTTCAGTGAGTAAATGAGCATAGCGTGTCGAGAACCTGGGCTGGCAGAGTGGAAAGTACCTGGTTAGGTGCTTTGATTTTATTTTCTGGGTCTCCGTAATGCCCACTGTGATGTTTTTGTGAATTTTCTAAATTCCTTTTTACTCTTGGCATTTTTTTCTCTGCAGTATTAGAGGTTACATTATGTAAATTTGTCACTTCCTAATAAAACAGTATTTGTTAAGATGGCCTCTTTTTAACTTTGAGGAGCTGCCATGGCTTGGTATTCTAGGACTTGAAGAACTAATTTGCGTACCTACTTTCTTTCTCTTCATAATTTTGAAGAGATACCTGTTCTCTTTGTTGTTTCTCCTCTAAGTCTTCACCTTTCCAGAATGGAAAATGTGTGCTTCCTTTAGGTTTTCTTTTTTCTTTTTTTTTATAATGACACAGCACACAACCTTTAGTTTTCTATGGTAATATGAGTCAACCGTTAACTGCATAGTTTGGAGAGAAGTGAGAGGGAAGAATTGGGGGGCAGGGAGATGTGTCCCTCTGCTGAGCTCTTGATTCCAGCTCTTTACCTTGGCCTAACACTCTGGAGATTCCAAATGGTTCTACAGAGCATGTGCTGTCCATGGTCACTGCCTCTAGGCAAAATGGGCCCTTGAGCACTCCCCTTGTGAATGATGGCAGCCAAGCAGGGGGAAAGAGTGCTGTAGCTGCTAGAGGTGAACGTGTACCACTGGCCCTGCCTGCCCACAGGGGCCTCTCAGCTTGGAGGTGCCCTGAGTCTGCTTCCCAAAGAAGCAGGCTTGTGGACCCAGAGTGACTTGGGCCCCAGCTACAAGGACAGTTGATTTTTAAGATGGTGGCCATCTAGGCCAGGTCCAGTGGCTCACGCCTGTGATCCCAACACTTTGAGAGGCCAAGGCAGGTGGATCACTTGAGGTCAGGAGTTCAAGACCAGACTGGCCAACATGGTGAAACCCCATCTCTGCTAAAATTACAAAATTAGCTATGTGTGGTGGCACATGCCTGTAGTCCCAGCTGCTTGGTAGGCTGAGGTAGGAGGATCACTTGAACGCAGGAAGTGGAGGTTGCAGTGAGCAGAAATCACGCCACTGCACTGCAGCCTAGGCGATGGCATGAGACTCTGTCTCAAAAAGTAAATAAAAAATAAAAAAATGACGGGGGACATCTATTATATCCTCCTTCAGGCCTTCCTCTGCTCTTCTTCCCTTCAGGCCAACCAGGATCTCCCAACCTGAAGACAGCAGGCAGCCCAATAATGTGATCAGACAGCCTTTGGGTCCTGATGGGTCACAAGGCTTCAAACAGCGCAGATAAATGCAGGCAAGAAAAGATGCCACCATCGCCGCTGTCACCGCCTCCTGGGTCGTCTGCCACGGGTTGCACTGCCGTGGCAGACAGCTGGACTTGAGCAGAGGGAACGACCTGACTTACTTGCACTGTGATCCCCCTTGCTCCGCCCACTGTGACCTTGAACCCCATGCACTGTGACCTCCCCCCTTCTCCCCCTTCCCACTGTGATTGGCACATCGACAAGGGCTGTCCCAAGTCAATGGAAAGGGAAAGGGTGGGGGTTAGGGGAAGGTTGGGGGGACCCACCAAGGACTCAGAGTAGAGAGTCAGACAGTGCCACTTGGCCACTTGGGGTAAAGCCAGTGCCAGCAATAACAGTTTATCATGCTCATTAATTTGGGATTTCAAAACACAAATGAGAACTCACACCCACCTACCCCCAAGTGCATGTCTTCATCACTTAAAAAGTAAGTTCCATTTGAAAATATCTTTTCTTTTTTTTTTCTTCCTATTTTTATTTGTTTATACAAATATCTGATTTGCAAGAAAAAGTGCATGGGAGGGGTTTTAGTGGTTTAATGAATTTTTAATTGAGAAAGGGTAGTTTGGTAGTCTACTTAAAAATGTTTCTGGGAAATTCACTAGAAACATTAACCAATAGGATTTTGGTGAGCTTAGCTTCTGTATTCCTACTGCCGCCTGGAAAAGGGGCAGGGCTCTGCAGCCCCCAGGACAGATGAGCACCCCATGCCTATACCTCCCTCCCCGAGCTAAGTCCCAGGACATCTGGGCCTTGCCTGGAGACTGGGCTAGCTCTGTAGGCTCAGAGAGCCTGGGGAGGGTGCCAACCCCACCTCTAGTATTTTGGGAGATAGGGCAAGTGAACAGACTTCCCCTTCCCATACCCCTCAGGGTGGTTCCCTAACAGCCAGGCTTATTGCTTCTAGAAGAGAGCAGAGTACCAGGGAGTGAGACTGCATCCCTGGGCTTAGCAGTGAAGGAGAGGAGACTTGTTTAGTATTTTGCCGTCAGCACAAGGAAAACCAGGAGAGAGTCTGGCTCCGGGACCCTAAGCCTTCTGCCTCTTATGGTCAGAAGGTGGATAGGTCTTCCCACTCCAGCATGGCTTGAACCCTTAAGGGTCTGCGGTGCTCCATCTCCATTGCTGGCCCCAGCTCAGTCACTATACCTGGTACATTTCCTGTGTGCAATCAGTACCTTGAAGGCAGAACATTCTGAATAAAGTTGGAAAAAGAACAGCTTTGCTTTGCAAAGATTGATGACAGACTGTTTCTCAGAGGCCTAGGCTACCCATCACCCCTTTTTCCAGAGTGAGGGCCTGGAATGAAGTTTCTCCTCTGTCCCTGGAGCCAGGGGTTTGCTTTGGCTCCTTGAGGTGGAAGAGGCTAAGAGGGCAGCTGCCCAGAGCGGCTCTGTGTGGACCTGGCTCCTCTTGGGCTTCCTGATCCCTTCCATTGCACTGCGCCTTATCCCTCAGCCAGCCAGACGGCCTCCCCACTCCTGACCAGCAGATACGTTTCGGAGTGGTTGGTGTGGTTTTGTGATTAGGGTAGCATGTGGTGGCCAAGGTGGCAAGCCGAGTCTCACAGGCTCACTCCACCATTGGTTCCCGGTGGGAATGGTAGGCCAGGCCCAGAAAGCCATGCCCCACCACGTCCTCCCCTCCGAGGAAGGGCCAGCTGCCAGCTGAGTTAGCAGCTAGTCCACAGCACAGCCTTCTGCCTGTGTGAAGCCAGCCATTCCCTGTGAGCAGAGCTGGAACCAGAGCTTCAGTCAGTAAGAGGGAGGATTACCTTCAGGAGAAGGCAAGGAAGAAGATTGGCTGCTATCTTTGTATTCCACTGCCCTAACCAGGTGTCCCCATTCTAAATTTCTAGTGTCCATCCTTCATCTAATAGTGGTTTCCCACCCAAAGCGAGACTGTCCTTTCAATTGGACAAGGTAGTCCAGGTGGGAAGGCCAGAAGTGCTCGTTGCCCACCTGTTTTGCCCCACTACCCTCAAGTGGAGGCCAAAGTAAAGGGTGGCTGGTGAGTGTCTGTGGATTGAGGATGTGGCAGGGACTGGTCCTGCCACCTCCCTCTGGCCAAAGATGGGCTTAGCCCGCTGTGTGCCTGTCAACCACCCACCAGCAGTGATGCCCTGGGCTTCCCAAATGGAGAGGTGGCAGGCAATGTTTTTAAAAAGAAAGAAAACAGGAAACTGTATTGTGTTGGGGGAGGCGGAAGGGAGATAAGGAAACGGTTTGGATTTTGTGTGTGGGAGGGTATTTTTTTGGGGTAGTTGTCTATAACTTTCCTAAGTGCTTTTTTCCCTTTTCTTTTTTAAAGTAAGTTGCAGGCTTTGGCTTGGAAAACCCCAGGGGGATGGGGGGCAGAAACTTGAGGCTGCTGCCCCTTTATCTGCCTTCACGGTACTGTCCCCGTCCCCCAGTTCCTTCCTGACCCTATGGGCCAGGCCTCAGACCTTCCAGCTAACCGCTTCCCATGAGCCACTACTCTGATGTCAGCCTATAACCAAAGGAGCTGGGGGGTCCAGGCCTGGTGACCAGCCTTTCTCAGCCCACTCAATCAGGGTGCTCCCCACCTGCAGGCAGGAGGCAACACCCTATCTGCTACCATCAGCCCCTTCCAGAGCCCACCTGCCCCGCCCAGCCCTGCCCTGCCCTGCCCAGCCCAGCCATACCCTGCTCTGCCCCATCTGGGGGTGCCCTGCTCAGGGATGGGCTGGCAGAGCTGTACCCAGCCTCCCTGGTAAGCAGAGACTCAAGAAACTTCTGGGGTCCTGTTTTCTGGTCGTGTGATCCCAGGGGTGCACATGGCCCCTTGGGTGTCTGAACAGAAGGGCATGGGAGGGAGGGCCGCACCCCTGCAGTCTTACTCTGCTGGTGTAGCGGGCGGCTGCCCACTCCCACCCCACCCTGCACCGCAGGCTCCTGAGTCGGCAGATTCAGCATTTTATAAATTGTATTTTAAATACATGTTTTAAACTTGTCAGATCTTTGTCCTCATTTCAGCTTCCGCCCCTCTACCTCTTGCTGTGGCCGCTTATTTAACCCTGGGGGGTTACCCTCTGCTCAGTCCCAGGGAGAGACTATCTTTGGTAGAATAGTAGGCCGGGTGGTATGTGGGTTGAGGAGAAAGGACCCATCCCTCTTGGGGCTCCCAGAGAAGGAGAACCCTGGGTCCTGGGATTCTGTCGGGAGGAGCATGGCAGACGGTACCTCCTGCTCTTCCACAGGGCCTGTCTTTAGAACAAGTGGAGAGAGAGAATGCCCACTTTTGTGGGGCTCCAAGTCCAGAGGGTGAAGCACTCATCTGAGGTGAGGCCTAGCCCTGTGCTTTGAGAATGCACAGAATGTCAAGACTGCACACGGACGCCTGTAGCAGAAACCCCAACCCTGGGCAGGGCTTTGAAGTGGAAACTTGCACTCTGAGAACCCAGTGCTGGCTGAGTTGACAACTTGAGGCCCTTCCTTGGCAACAAGCACAGAGGCTGAAGTTATTGGTATTTATTAGCTTGCTAGGCCACAAAAGCGAACTTCAGCAGCAGCTCCTGCCTGGTGACCCATCTGTCTGCAGGCCTTGAGCACCTGCCCAGAGTCAGGCCTCCAGAGGGTCAGTGGGTTCGAGCCGGCGTAGAGCTGAGCCACTTTCTGCTGTCAGAGTTGTGTTCCCTGGGGAGAGGAGGGCAGAGGGTGGGAAACATTGATTGGCCTTTTCCCCATAGTTCTGCCAGTACACAAGCCATCCGTGCTGCCCAAGTGAGGAGAGAGAGGAGCATCCCCTCGGAAATGGAGGAGCCAGCAGTTGGGCTTAGGGGCCTGATTCCAAGTCTAGGGCTCCTTTCCCCAGTGACCTGAAAGGGGACTGCTGCAGGAGATGCTGCTTTGCCCAGCCGCACAGCCTGGTAGTCCCAATATGGAACCACAGGGAATTTGTAGCACTTAGTAAGTGCCACTGAGCCTTAGACACAGGAACGCAGAAGCACTCTGGCTTCAATGGAACAACCTGCTGGGTACACAGGCACTCAACAAAGGTTTGTTTTTTTCGCCTTTCACTCTTTATCCGCCCTGGAGCAAGCAGCCTGTCAGGTATCATCTCTTAGAAAGATGGACTCTTAGGCATTAGGCAAGGAGCCTCTTAAGGATCTGGAAGGGCCTGGGTTGGGACCCTTTCTCTGGGCACCCACCTGTTTCCTTGAGATCCTGACTGGAAGAAGGGGCTATGGATGTCAGGATCCAGGCCAGAGGGTACGCACTGGTCTAGCACGTGGTGGGTGGTTGGCTTCCCACGGACCATCTTCTTGTCCAACCGCGGGCAGAGCGGGATGCAGGGCACCTGGCCATAGGGGCTCTGCAGGTTGGGAGCTGGTAAAGAAGGAGGCAGAAGGGGGAATGCTTCAGAGCACACCCAGCCTTGGGAGGCAGGCAGATTGATTCCGGTGAAATCCTGACTTTGCTACATAATGAACTGGGTGGTTTGGGGCAAGTCACTTAACCTCTTTGAGCTCTCTGGTGCCTCTGGAGGTGATAGTGGTACCCACCTCACAAGAGTTGTTGAGCTTAAAGGGGTAACATATGCAAGCACTCAGTGCTGCACACAGAATAAGGGCTGGTAAGAGCTTAACAAGGAGCAGATGTCTGTGTGCTGGGTGCTGGCAAAATCTAGTAGGCATGCTCTAGAATGACTGTAAAACTCCTATCCTGTTACTTGGCATACAATAGGAGTCTGATAAATGGTACCTGGGCAAGGGAGGCAGGCTTAGCCAGTGGAAGGAGCATAGATTTTGGGGTCAGACCTGGATATAAACTCCCCTTTCCAAAACATACTAGGTAGGGGCATTGGGCAAGCTGCTTAACTTTATCAGATTCATTTTTCTAATCTGTAAAATGGAGGAAATACATGATTACGAGGATGAAATTCTAGAGCATCTGCAAAGGGCCTAGCACAGTGGGGCACTCAGTAACCAGTAAGCTGGGATTGCCAATATCTACAGCTGTTCCCTGTGTCAGTCCTGGCTCATGGGACCAACCTGAGCTCAGGCCAAGGCAGGAGGGGAGCAGTCCAATGCAGGAGGCCATTGTCAGGCCTGGATATAAAATAGTGATTATCAGCCTGTTTTCTGGTGTATGCATAAGCCCAAAGTGGGAAACTGGCCTCTCAGCTCCCTGGGTCTGGCTGCCTAAGGACCCCAGGTAAGTAAGCAGGCCAGATGGGCAAGAGAGCAGAGCCCCAACGCCAGCCCAGCTCCCCTAGCCCAGGGCCCTCACCATAGTTCTGCTGCTTCAGCCGGCTCAGGATACTGAGGACCTTTCGTTCTGGGACTTCTGAGCTCTCTTCCTGCTGGGGGTTGTAGGGAATCTTCTTCCGCAACCGCAGCCGGTGTATGGCCGCTTCCATTTCTTGGGCCTTGCAGGTGCCTGCCTTCAGCTTTTTCTGGTAGTAGCTGGGGAGGCAGTGCCCACCCATCTCAGCCTGGCTGTGTTTAATTCACCCTCCTCAGCCCCTCTCTAGCAAGCTCTGGAGCAGGAACACAAGCCTAGCAGTCAGGAAAGCTGGATTCTAGTCCCAGCTCAGCCCTTACCTTTCTGTGAACATGAGCAAGTCACTGCCCTGCTCTGGGCCTCTGTGGCCCTGTGTAAAATGGAGGGAAGTGGTTCTCTCTACCCTGTCAATGCAAATGACTTGGATTCTCTGAGCTTCAAGTTTCCATTGGGTAAAACAGATCAAACAGTTGATGTGCCATAGGTTTAAATAATAAGGATTAATTAACAAGGCCCACCAAGCATGCAGCATGGTGTCTGGCACACAGAAAATGCTTTGTACATGTTACCTGTTATTTTCGGGGGGCGTGGCAGGGAGGCAGAGTCTCACTCTGTTGCCCAAACAGGAGTGCAGTGGTGTGAACATGGCCTCACTACATTCTCGAACTCCTGGGCTCAACTGATCCTTCTACGTCAGCCTCTCAAGTAATTGGGACCTCCACCACCATGTCCAGCTATTTTTTAAAAAATTTTGTGTAGAGATGTGGTCTCACTTTGTCACCCAGGCTGGTCACAAACTCCTGGCCTCAAGCCATCCTTCCACCTTGGCCTTCCAAAGTGTTGGGATTACAGTTGTAAGCCATTGCATGCGGCCATTCCCTATGATTTTATCACTGATATATTTACTTAGATGTGCAAGTACTTTGTAAATCATCTGTGCAGTTACTCCTGCTCATCTTCCAGATTTCAGGTTAAGGACCCTCTGCTCCAGAAAGTCTTCTCTGTCCTGTCCTCCACACCCCCACCCCACAGGGTAGCTAGGCTCCTGCTGGAGGCCCCCTGGAACCTGTAGTTACCCAATTACAGCCCACAACCCACTTGATTTTCTTTTTTTTTTTTTTTTCCTGAGGGAGTTTCACTCTGTCACCCAGGCTAGAGTGCAGTGGCGCGATCTCGGGGCTAACTGCAACCTCCACCTCCCTGGTTCAAGCAATTCCCCTGCCTCAGCCTCCCAAGTAGCTGGGTAACAGATGCATGCCACCACACCTTGCTAATTTTTTTGTATTTTTAGTAGAGATGGAGTTTTACCCTGTTGGCTAGACTGGTCTCAAACTCCTGACCTCAGGCAATCCGCCTGCCTCAACCTCCTAAAGTGCTGGGATTACAGGTGTGAACTACCATGCCCAGCCCCCACTTGAGTTTCTTAGCTCACTACTTGCCTTTCCCCCCACTAGACTGCAGCGGCATTCAGTAATATTTACTGAATGCTCACTGTGTCCTGACTACTCTTCTAAGTGACTGGAAAAGAGCATTGAAGGAGACATCCACACAGTGCCCCTGTATCATAGTCTTAGCCGCACTTTTTTTTTTTTTTTTTAGAGATGGAGTTTCGCTCTTGTTACCCAGGCTGGAGTGCAATGGCGCGATCTCGGCTCACTGCAACCTCCGCCTCCTGGGTTCAAGCAATTCTCCTGCCTCAGCCTCCTGAGTAGCTGGGATTACAGGCATGCACCACCATGCCCAGCTAATGTTTTGTATTTTTAGTAGAGACGGGGTTTCACCATGTTGACCAGGATGGTCTTGATCTCTTGACCTTGTGATCCACCCGCCTCGGCCTCCCAAAGTGCTGGGATTACAAGCGTGAGCCACCGCGCCCGGCCTCAGCCGCACTTCTTAACTCCAGCCAGCTACTAACACCTTGGACCAAGGGTGCCACAGTGGCCGCTTACACACAGGCTTCAACTAGCTTTGCACAGAGACAACCCTACGGGTCTCACCTCAGGTCTGAGCCTCTTGCTTCCTGTCCCAGGGATTCTCTGACACGTGCAACCCAGAGTGCAGGGGAGTTAAGCACCTGTCGGGGCCACCTTTGCCAAAGGAGCTAGTGGATGAGCTATACAGGCTTTTCTCTTTTTCACTGGCAGTTCTGAGCTGCCATTCTTTTTCTTTTGAGACAGAATTTTGCTCTGGTTGCCAAGGCTGGATTGCACTGGCACAATCTCAGCTCACTGCAACCTCTCCCTCCTGGGCTCAAGCAATTCTCCTGCCTCAGCCTCCCGAGTAGCTGGGATTACAGGCATGTGCCACTAAGCCCAGCTAGTTTTTGGTATTTTTAGTAGAGATGGGGTTTCACCATGTTGACCAGGCTGGTCTCAAACTCCTGACCTCAGGTGATCCACCTGCCTCAGTCTCCCAAAGTGCTGGGATTACAGGTGTGAGCCACCACACCCAGCCCTGAGCTGCCATTTTTAGTCTCCTCAGAAGATCCTGGGAGGTGTTTGACTCAGTAACACATCCTTGAATTGGCTTCTCCTCTTTCATGGTTCACACCCCTTCCCTTATTCCTCTTTCCTGGAATCATTTATCACATCAGCTACCTGGACACAGACCTACTGGCAGAGTCAGACCGTAAACAAGTAAATAAAAATACAGGCCAGGCATGGTGGGGCTGATGCTTGTAATCCCAGCACTTTGGGAGACCAAGGTAGGAGGATCACTTAAGCCCAGGAGTTTGAGACCAGCCTAGGCAACAGAGTGAGACACCTCTATAAAAAAATTTTTTTTTTTTAAATTAAGACAGGGTTTCACCATGTTGGTCAGGCTGGTCTTGAACTCCCAACCTCAGGTGATCCGCCCGCCTTGGCCTCCAAAGTGCTTGGATTACAGGTGTGAGCCACCACGCCTGGCCTACAAAAAATTTAAAAGTTAGCTGGACATGGTGACATGTGTCCCAGCTACTCAAGAGGCTGACACAAGAGGATAGCTTGAGCAGGGAAATCAAGGCTGCAGCGAGCTGTCATCATGCCACTGCACTGCAGCCTGGGCGATGACAGGGCAAGATCCTGTCTCAAATGCCATGTTAGGAGTGCCGGGTGCCCTGAGGAAAAGTAGAAGGGTAGGAGGTAGCGATAAGGGGCTCCTTTGCTCAAAGTGGTAAGCAAAGGTCCCAGAGGTGACGTTTGAACAGGATGAGGGAGGAAACAAACAAAATGGGTATCTGGAGAAAGAGTCTTCAGGCAGAGGAGTGGCCTGTGAAAAGGCTGGGAGGTGCAGGAAAGAGCTGGAGACAGCAAGGAGACTGGAGAGTTACAAACACATTTGCAGACATAGGTCATCAACATTACCTCCCACGCATCATTTTCCAAGAAGCTACTGGAGAACATGTTCTTCCAAAATGAGAACATAAATCAAAAAAGTGAAAGATGTGATTACAGAAAACAGGAGATCCCGGCCAGGTACAGTGGCTCACACCTATAATCCCAGCACTTTTGGGATGCTGAGGCAGGAGGATCACCTGAGATTAGGAGTTCGAGACCAGCCTGGCCAACATGGTAAAATCCCCCCATTTCTACTAAAAATACAAAATTAGCTGGGCATGGTGACGCATGCCTGTAATCCCAGCTACTCGGGAGGTGGAGGCATCAGAATCACTTGAACCCAGGAGGCAGAGGTTGCAGTGAACCAGGATGGCACCACTGCACTCCAACCTGGGCAACAGAGCAAAACTCCATCTCAAAAGAAAAAGAAAGCAGGAGATAGAATGCAGGAGAGAGGCAAAGGAAAAGGAAGATGGTGAAGGGAGATCCCGCAATGACAGTGCAAATGCCATAAACCACACACAGCCAAATCTCTAAACATGAAAAATGCAGTACCTGGCCAGGTGCAGTGGCTCACGGAAAACTGGACATTTCAATCTAATAATGTGGTAACTATGAAAATAGGGTTCTCGGCTGGGTGTAGTGGCTCATGCCTGTAATCCCAGCACTTTGGGAGGCTGAAGCAGGCAGATCACAAGGTCAGGAGTTCGAGGCTAGCCTGACCAATCTGGTGAAACCCCATCTCTACTAAAAATACAAAAATTAGCCGGGCATGGTGGTAGGTGCCTGTAATTCTAGCTACTTAGGAGGCTGAGGCAGGAGAACCACTTGAACCCAGAGGAGGAGGTTGCAGTGAGATGAGATCGGGCGACTCTGTCTCAAAAAAAAAAAGAAGAAGAAAAGATTCTCCCCCTTCCTCAGAGTTTGTTGTTTTTTGTAATTGTTCTTGTTGTTGTAGGCTGTCTCTGTGCCAAAGATTAGCCGAAGGTATAAACTTAAGTATTCTCGGGTCTTTTCTGAGCCCAACACTTTGGGAGGCCGCCTCAGGATTGCTTGAACCAGTTCAAGACCAGCCTGGGCAACATGGCATTATGGCAAAACCCTGTGTCTACAAAAAATATAAGAACAACAATACCCAAAGTGAAAAATTCACTGGATGGACTAAAGATCGGATTTGGGGAAGATGGTGGAGTGGGAAGCACCGGGAATCTGCCTTCAAACCTAGACAACAGTTACACTGGCAGAATCTCTCATACTGTCTTGGAACTCTGGAGACTTGCACCATCCAGGGGAAGGTTTGGATACAAATTGCAGTTAATCTTGGTCAAGTTAAACTTTTAGCACAGTATCAGCTATTTGTCTTCCATTTCCAGCCCCAGGAGCGGCTTGCATGCAGCTTGCTGGAGCCAGGGTAGACAAAAAGGACTCTGTCCTCCACAATAGTGGGAATTGTGCTCTGATCACTAATGGCTGCTTCTGAAAACAAAGGTGCAAAGAGGGGCTGTTGGAACTCCCCACATTGTTGCAAGCCCTTGCCCCGTGTGTGTGTGTGTGTGTGTGTGTGTGTGTGTGTGTGTGTGTGTGTGTGTGTGTGTGTTGAGTGTGTGTGTGTGTTTGGTAAACCGTGCTCCCTTCCAGTTGAAGTGCCTTCCAGGAAATGCAAAGGGTCGGTGCCCTTTTCACTTCATTTTTCTCTTTTCACCCTTTTTGGACGCAGACATTGAAGGCTAAGACATTCAGAAGCAACCGTATCTATGGGGGGAAATTAGAAAGTAACCCCAGTTCCCAGGGGAAGGCACGGGCTCAGAAAAGATCTGAGAAGACCTTAAGTGTATACTTTAGACTGCTCTTTGACACAGAGACAG